TAGTATTTTTAAGCGGCCATTTTGAATTGACCTTTTGAAGGTCAAGGTCAATTTTATTATCTTGGTATCCACCCTCATCGTCTTCAGCATACCCATATTAGGTTAAAACTCTCAAGATATTACTTGTACTATAAAATGCCTCTAGCATTAATATTTTCGTAAAATCAGTCCTGTCTAATATGCGCACGTCATATATTTCATTAAAATTGATAAACGTTTGAATATAAATCGCACAACATAAGGATCTTTCTTGTGAGATCTAGTCATACTTTAACTTGTGGTATGGAAAGATATTTTGTTTAAAGAAATTACACGTCACATCAAATTTGAGTAGCTCAAGCAATTTCTAAATGTCATAGAAATGTGGACATAGAAAAGGCATGCATCGTAGTATCTTCTGAGCGACAGAAACAAGCAGATTTCTGTGTGACTAGTGTCATAGTAAGCATAGTAAGCATAATTCAGTTTCTACAAAATGGCATACTTTGATGCTTAAACGTCGACGAAAAGAAACAACCGACAGGACATTGACTTTTTTGGTGCATCTCCGGAGAATACGACGAACAACTCAGACACGTCTAGCATCTCCTTTCACTTTTTTCTATTTATTCTTTGGTCTTTTAAGCATTTGACAATATAACACTTTTGTTTTGTCATTTTTATTTTCCAGAGAAGGGACAAACTAGCCAGGGAGGTGATCGTGAGATGCATTTATGACCTATAACGAGTGTCTTGAACTCTCAATTAGAAGACGTAAATCTACGTGTAGTGTAGGTGTGACCTTCATGTGGGCTGCGGGTAAACCGCATAATAGAAATTCACAGATTTGCGTTGTTCAATCTCCAACGTATACGTACTTTCCTGTGGCAATCGCATATTGATTTCGTATTGGTCAAGGTCGAGGTATCTAAAAAGATTTAAATCCGTATATTTATCTGATTTCAGTACAGTCTATATATAAGTCCGTATATTTGTCACTATATTTATCCGTATATTTATCTACATGTATATAAATCCGTATATCTATCTAATTGTCTGTATAATGCAAGTTTAAATTTTGATAAATGGGTAACAAACTGTGCTCTGATTGATGTATATTTTCGAACAATTGATAATATAAAATGTTTGCTCATCATTTGTCATGAAGAGCAACTTCCCTTCCAACGCAATTTATTAGAACTGATGCTTTGCTCAGATCTCTACAAAGCAGTAGTCCAATAGTTTTGCTTCGAGTGTTTTTATTTATAGGTTAGTACACTAAGAAATAATTTGAATAAAAACATGTTCAAGTCTTATGGAATTGGATATTTCATAATAAATAGAGCGTGAAAAGTTCTTAAATATCATTAATCAATGACTTACAATTAGTTTTTTTTTTCTAAACGTTTACTTTAATGATATAAAGTACAAAAAGTAAGTACTAGTAAAGTACAATCAGTATCATTACTCATAATATGATGTTATATTTTGAATATTCTATATTGACATAATGTTTAGAGAAATGATATAATCAATGAGATATGATTACCCTTTTCTATACATATTCTAGCATTACAACGAACTAAAATAGTTATACCTATGAATTAGTTATACCTAATGAATTACCTGTATAGAAAAGAAATTTAAGGGAATTTTAGTGAAACTTAAGAATGACTAATGTTTATATACAATAATTAATTACGTTTAATATTTCGACAATACCTTCCTGTTTGGAACATAAAACTGTAGTACATTAAATAAAAATAGACTTCCAATAAGGGTTTTCTGATTTGTTTTTTTAAAGTCTTTTGTTTGCTGGATTGGTTTATAAGTCTCATCTTCAATTTCAAGGTCATATTCGGACGTTTGGACTCCTGCACTTCTTGTTATGGATAATTGATTCCAATGTATTGAATCAACGCCTTAGCCGATGCTAGGGTGCATGGGAGATGGTCGTTTTCCATCATCTCTCTTAAAATGATGCATTGCTTGCATTGCTATGGAACACACCTTACCAAAAGATCATTTTCAGATTTAATTGGTATGGGTTGACATAAGGTGTCATCAGCGGCCTTGACCTGTTATTGTCAGAATAATTATGTTATTGTAAAAATGTGTATACTTGATTAAAATATTTATCATATGATTAACACCAAAGTCGGATAATTTTGTAACGTTTTCATTCTGATATTTTGTTGTCATCGTATATTAATATATGATTAACGTAAGTGATAACATTACAATATGATAATAACTTTGTAGCTTATTATAGCTACAGCAAATCTATGGAAAACCACCTGTGTAATGATAATATTACAGATTGTATGAAACGACAATATTACCTGGCAAGCGAAAATCATGTGAATAAATGAATATGTATCTGTACATGTATTTGAACAAAAGTAGTCCAATTAAAAATAGTAAAAATATTTGTGCATTTTTTTTTCTATAATCTAGTCTTTAGTTGAGAATGATTTGGGTTTTTTATGAAAATACCAATTATATCATGGCCCGATAAATATATAATATAATAAATATATATATAGATAAAAGGGAGATCCCAAAACAGCATTGTAAACAAAAGCCAAAACGGGCAAAACAAATCGGTTTAAGTGACTCTGTTCGTGAGATATAATGTTCAGCATCTGTCACACACCCTAGCACCGGCTTAAACAGTATTCAGTCTCAATCACTTATCGTATCTCAATCAATGATACCATAAAGGACCAGTAAAATACAACTCCGACATGAATTTATGGGGTAACTTATTACACTTACTACAGCTTTTTCAGATCCCTTGTGGCTCAGCGGTTGCTATTAATGGATGATGCCCACGATGATACCTCCATGATCATAAGAGAAGACTAAATTGGTTCCAATTACTGGAGTCTATGCATCTCTTAGCTCCGGCACATGAGGTGGTTTTGACCTTTGATGTTGCTTTGAAATTTATAACAGACTACCTCCGTGGTCGAGGGGTAAGAGTCGATGACTTCTAATCCAGTTACCTCTCTGGGTGGGTTTGATCCCGGAGATGCCTGGGTAGTGTCGCGGGGAAAAGATAGTCTATACTAGTGTAACTCCCCCGGGAAAGGGGTTGGGAAAACACCCCTATTGATAAAAATTTTTGGAAAAAGGGAAATGAAATAAAAAAACAAAAAAATTTTAAAAAACATCCGAGGTTAGCCAAAAACATGCTCTTGTTTCGGCAGCCTATGACATATACTGTGTTCACCCGCCGTGAAACCAAACAAACAAAACGGATTGTTCAGGATGAAAATAACATGTTTGTAGGATGTGTATATTGTGTAACCATTGGGCTTTCAGCGAACTTATTATTTTGAAACGGGTTATAATAAATCTATAACTGATAATGAAAGGGTTTACTTTAAATGTAATGCTAATTTTTATTTATGGTAAATATTCAACTACGTTGTAAATTGTTGCGATTCAATTGATGAATTAACAGAAATGGTATACTGCAGTTATCAACAACAATAAAAAAAAAACCTTTGGCCCCTATAAGTTGTATAACTACACGTATATACTTAGTAAAGTCTTTGCAATGACAATGTATCAGATTTCATCACATCTTGACATGCCATATTGTTTAAATGGTGTGGGCTACAAAAAATTCAAGTTTTTATTTTAAGTTTTATCGCATTTATTCACAGATGTTTGTTGTCATTTCACATTGTTTAAATGTGTTGATTGCTTCGTCCACGTCACTCAAGGGTTGCTTTATAACTTGTAGGTGGGTGATATTTGGAACTTGCAGCTGTGTAACTACTGGCAAAACCGTTACAACAATGATGAGATCGAGAGAACGGCACCAAAGAGCATCCTGGTAAATATCAGAATAAGCAATGACCTAACCAACTTCGTTACGCCACAGTACATTTTAGTATGTAGTATGCGTTAGAATTGACCGTTACAGAGTATAAACAAATCTCGTCAAACTTACCGCTAAGTCAAATATTCATCGTTAAGTTTAAAGATCCTGTATGTTTTGTGATTGATATTGTTACTGTGTGTATACCACACTTGCAAAAATTTATATATGTATATAATTATGCAAATAAAACAATTTTCAAACATCGAAGAATATGTAAAATGTGTACTGCAAATATGTGTGCACATTAAATTTAATCAATAAATTACATGCATTCAAATTTGACTTAGACTTTATGAAAATAAATTTCTAATTACCTCCCTTTATTTACATGAAATGTTAAATTGGGTAATATCTTTATAAATAATGCTTATTGGAACTTACAATATTGACAAATCTTAATTTGAGCATCATATTTATGAAATAAAACCATGAAAAAATTGTGAATACCTCGTGATCCATGGTCCTAGGTCGATAAGTTATGGCACAGTTACATCTTGAATTGTCATACATTCAAGGAGTCCATTTACTTGTCGCAATTACAACCTTTTGCATTTCATTAATACCTTTAATCAAGTCATTTACTTGTTGCAATAATAACCTTTTGCATTGTTGCTATTCAATGCCTTCAATTAGATAATTAAGTAGTTGCAATAATAACCTGTAGCATTTCATTGCCCTTAATCAAGTCATTACCTGTTGCAATAATAACCTCTTGAATTTCAATGCATTCAAGAAATCCATTTTTGCACGAGTGATGTTGTCAATAAGATATATAATACGAAAAAACAGAAGAGAAATATTCAAGTCTCTGACAACATCCAGTCACACAGTTCCACAAGAAAGGCGCCCCCCCCCGTAGGGGTCGCAATTAAAAGAGGATTTAGAAAATATAGCAGTTCAAAGACCAGTTGAAGTGTTTGGACTTTGGAACAATTGTTTCACACATTTGTACCAAAACACAAAATAACTTGTAACCGCTCTTCGAAATGAGTTGTATAAAATGATTATTGTACACACACGCACCAATTATACAATTTTCTGTAATGACTCTCGGCATTTGATTAACGAAAGACCACAGTGACTGAATAAAATTCAAATGTATTGTAACAAATAAAAAGTTAAGATATATTGTAACAAATGTCATGCATTTCTTTATTTGCAAACAACATGAATTATTTCCATAACCAGACAAAGATTTTGGTCAACTTGACCAGTTTGTTTAATAAACGATTGTTAAAAATGTTATAAACCATTGGTATACGTTTGTTTACATCGTAATGTGTTACCATCACAAAATAAAGTTGTTATTTTCTGTCATTATTGAACAGATATGCATATTAAAAGTAATGAAAAGTAACGTTTGAAGACCACCTTCGATTGAAGAATCAACAATTATTAGATCCATTTGTGTGATTTTCTACTTGCCAGGCGTCCACCATGCATATGACCGTTGATAACTTAATACAGGTAAAATGTTATGTTTACACATATAATTATGATTTTTCATTGCGTAGTTGTGTTAAAATGAATAAAACGATTACAAACAGTTCTTTTGTAGTCAATTTGCGTACATAATTATTTTGTAAAATTGGAAGACGTGAGATTCTATGAAATATCGATGTATTTAAAGTACTGATGGAAGGCGTCTTTTGAAGTTTTGGTTTTTAAACACTTTTTAGCTCTCACTTGAAGAACCAATTCCTTGGGGACGTGAGAGGGAAGTAGGTAAACAGGTCCAAGTGGAGTCGTGGTAAATGATTTTCGATTTCCACATTCATGCCTTCATCCGAGGTTACACTCACACTTCGCTTTTGTACTGATAATGGGAAGTAACTTCCACTTAACTTTATTGTTTAAGCGTATGCATATTTTGCCCTTAGGCAAATGTAAGAAAAGAAGGCAACTTATCACCTTCCAAAACTGGTGAGGATATAATCACAATCTCGCAATTCATCGTGAAAAGCTCTCGATGAAAGAAAATCAGTCATGGACACCGTAAATGACGTCTAGATACGTGTATCAGACGTCTAAATGCCACTGTTTGTATTAAAAACTGACGAGAATAAATAAATAAATAAATAAATATTTGTATAAACGTATATCTTTGGAAAGTTAGTTAAAATTCTACCCTAATTTACAACTGTTACCACTTTTTCTCGATTCTTTTAGCAACATCTTTATTGTTTTTAAAGTACGCACGAGCGCGTTAACTGACGTCACTTTGCTGAGAGATGTCCATTTGTCCAATGAACGCAGAGCCATCTGTTCCGATGGAGGGTGAACACTCTTAAAATCCATGTCCAACACTAAAAGCAAAAGAGATAATATTCAATTTAAAAAAAAACAAAGTTTTACCTAATGAAAATGAAGTGTTCCAACCAATCATTATTTCTAAATAAGTATATGGTATATAGACCATTTAACCAGTTGTTATTTCAAAGATTTCTATTAATTTGTGGTAAGTGAAAAAGTAACGTAGCCAGATACTAGTCCTACGTATTCTGTGCAAGTGAGTGATATAGTACTTTAACTTGATGTTGCAAATGATACCTAAGTAACGATCGGTTATTTCTATAGGCCAGAGTTGCAGTGAAAACATTCGAACTGCATTTTTTACACACTGTAAAATTCACAAACAAGTGTGATACGCAAACCTCTAATTGAAAGACTTTTTCAAACTTATGTTTAAAGCTGCATGAGACGAAATATTCAAACTTGAGATAAGTGATCTAAGAGTTTAAGAAAAGTAAAAAGATTTAAGATCTTTGTAATGATTTACGTTATGTGCGATTAATGACTGATTTTGCAATATTTGTCATTATATTTCTACTGCGTGACAAATGCGGTAAGAGCTGGTTTTGCATATTTTGACCTCTTATTTTGTAATTTACGTGGATTGTAAGTGCCGTCTGCAATGTGTAAATAACTTTCTTTGTTCACTTCCCAATATTTTACTTTTAAATGCATTTTCAAAATTAGCAAGAATCTGGAGGCGTTGTGCTTTAACGCCTATTTTCGGAAGACTTACGTTCAAGATCTTGTGAGCGGAGTAAAGGGTTTCTAGGAGGGTTGAAGGGAAGTTTCTGATACATCTTATCCCAATCTTTACCAACTCCTTGCGCAGCCACATCTATAGCTTCTCTTAACGTATCTGTAAAAAATGAAATACAATTTAGTTAATAATTCATTTTAATATTAGAGAAAAAAAACACAAACATAAGTAGATGTTGTTTGGTTCAAATTTATGCCTCTAAATAATGATTTAGTCTTAAATTTAAAATCTTGCAGCTATCGTGTCAGTGTGCAATTTAATGAAAATGTATGCGATAGTTTTTGGCTTGTCTTTTTCCTAAACAAAAGATGCTGAAGTTAAGGCAATCTCTCAACCAGACTAAAATGAGCTCTAAATAACGCTAAAACTTATAAAATATGGACTTCATGGTCAGTTTTGGTTCAGTCCCTGGCTTTAAGATATTTTATCTAAATTTCATCTAATGTTTAACCTCTTATATGAAGGCTTTTTCTCTTGCTCTTGTCTTTCTTACCACTGTCTAACATGCAAAATGAAGTGTGAATGAAAACAGCCGACTAAAATGAAGTTTGGAGGATATTTCGACGAATTATAAAGAAAAATATTAAAATAATGTCGAATCAGGTGATTAAGAAAGAACAAAAACAAACAACAACAACAGCAAACAACAATCAAAAAATCATTTTCGGATACTCAACGCAATTTTAGCATTCTTACTTACAAATAATTTCAGCTATATTTTGCACAAACAATTAAAGCCGAACATACATTTTAATTTTTGTACGTGTCTTTAAACGCTAAAATAAAGTTTGATTTTGTGAAAGAATGTATTCTCATCTAGCTGTGAGCAACTTTAAAGCACGGGAAGGTTCTTGGTAAGAACAACCGCCCTTCCTCAAGGTAAATAAGTAGCCCCCTCATCACATTTTCTGACGGAACTCAAACCTACGATGCTTAAGGTCTCTGTGACTGAGTTGTTTACTATCTTTAAACAAATCATCCGTCTTTGCTGTTGGTTCGAATCCCGCCAGTGCTTTGATTTTTAAAAAGCTATCAAGCCAGCTGATGGATTGTTGGTTGTTTTACTCACGTAGCCACTCAAGTCTGATAATGGAAGATTACACGTCGTCGGTCTCCATCCATTAAACTAGAAATTCGTTAAATGACCTTCAAATTGCCTATTTGACTTTATAACATCTAACAAAAATAGCCATGTAGCTACGGAAGCCCATAGAATAGCGGTTTTTATAATCAAATCAAAAACACATTAAAAACCACGAAACAATCCATACTAAAACTAAATAAATATCAATGTAAACATTTGATCTAATGTAACTTGGAATAAAACTCTAAATCATATTGTCTTTGGTTACATTTGATGACAAGTCGATGTGTACTTTATTTGTCAAATCAAGCGCGGTGGAAATCCTTTGCAAATATTCATTTTGTTCAAACAATAAATTTTACTTACTGCATACCTTTGTATCAGTTTGGGCGTCACGAAAAATCAATCTGTGGATCTATTTGTTATCTACTTACACAAAAATCATAGTTTCTCAAGGTTTTATTAGATTTCCTATGACTAATTCCATTGTTTATCTTTAGAGAGGAATGTTTTATATACATACATTATAAGCTCAAAATAAATACCTAATATATGCAAGGAGACTAACTGTTTTATCTGTAAAAACGTATTTCAAACACTTGGTCTATTTGAAATAAGCATGAAATTTTGAAACTATTTTTATTATTTTTTCTTCTGTTTAAGCTTTAATTCTGGATTTTTGCCCTCAGTAGTATAATTTGATCAACATAAGAAAAAGTAGAAATTTAATAAAGAGTAAAATCACATGTATTAAACCGCGGTCTATATGAACCTAAAGAAATGTAATGATGTAAACGGAAACATGCTGCAAATAAGGTTTACAACTGGTTAAATTAGTAGAGAGTAACGGTTATATAACAGGGAAACTAATAGAGATTATTATATAATCTATAAATAGCTTTGAAATGCCTTTCCCTGATTGGCTAACAAGCAAATTTTTGTAAAAAATAACAGGTCAATATCAGAGTATATTCACTGTTTTTTTCCTAAAAATAGATTTTCAGAGTATATTCACCGGTTTTTCTTCTAAAAATAGATTTTCTGGAAATCCCTAAAAGAAGCAAGACTTTGACGTGACGTCATGCCAAGTTTGTTGTTATTATTCTGAAAAAACATTGAGTTGGGTGTACATAAGAGTCAAATGAGTCTATATTAGTTACTGTTTTGCATTTTTAAGAACAATAGGGATCAGCATGCCAATAGAAAGGGCCAAATTATGGAAACAGTAGACAAGCTGAAAAATAATGATTTCCATCATATGCAATGGCAGATGTGATAAGCCATATAAAAGCTATTTATAAATTATATAATAAAACATATATGTACTTTTTAGCTGTTGAATATGATGTGATATGTACTGAAAAATTAATATTGACCTCGGCTATCGCCTCGGTCAATATTAATTTTTTCAGTACATATCACATCATATTCAACAGCTAAAAAGTCCATATTTGTATAATATATAACCGATATCACCAAGTAACATGCAATATTAGATAGATATACAGTATAACCTCTGAAAACCGGACACCCATGGGTTCACACCCTTCTCAATTTCCGCTTTTTTGGGTTTTTTTTTGTTTTTGTTTTTTTTTTCTAAAGTAAAATTTAATTGTTTTAACCCAAATTTTACCAGAAATCGTTCGGAATTCAGAATTTAGAAGTTTCGGAATTTAGATATATGACTAACATAGAAAACAGAAGGAGAAATTTTGGGACTCTTAAAATTGTTCGGATTTCATCAGTTTCCGGATTTCAGAAGTTCCGTAATTCAGAGGTTTCACTGTATAAGGAGCTGAACATGTATTTGCATATGAAATATTTCGAGGTACATATAGATATACATAAAACAATAAATAAAACGGTAATTTCTTTGATGCAATATTTAAGCATCTTAGTGACTGATATTTTATTGATGTAACCAATATGGTTTCAGATTAATTCCCAATGGTTCTTTAAATGTCATGATATAGCAATTTTCACACATTGCAGGTACAGGAAGAACTCAAGTGCCCCTTATGATGGTGCCTAGGTGGAAACACTAGTCGACCGTTAGTACCTTGAAAAAAATGATATCCCCTAACAAACTTCGAGATCACTAAGCAATTAGGGACAAGTGAAATTAAGCCCTGTGCCACGAAGAGTCCCATTAGAAAAAAATCAAGAAACTCTATATTAACTCTCTATGTGAATATCAATTTTATAATTTCATACTCGTATTTGTATAAAATATTTTGTATTTAAAAATGAATGAATATCGGATCTACAAATAAAGGAGAAAACCATGCATACTATAATAGTGAGAAATGTTGTAATATAAAAGCTAGAAATAGTATTGGTTTGTGTCTAGAAGTAGATTTACAGAGTCAGTTTCCATCAACAAGACAAATCTCCGTCCACTAAATTTTTCTCCGTAACTTTCGGCTTTTTTCGTCAAACTTCGCTTTACTGATTATATTGATAATCGACGAGGTGTTCAGAACTCGAAGTCATATTAATTAAGCATCATCATCATCATCATCATCATCATCATCATCATCATCATTATCATCATCATTATTATTATTATTATTATTATTATCTTTCGATTTGAAATTCAAAAATATTTCATGGTCTCAATTAGATACCTAATTAATTACATGACATTCACAACTAAATTTCCTCCCAAAAGTACAAATAGGTATCATATTTCTCTAGAGAAAACAATCAATATACACTTAATTAAATTTTAATAACGAAAAAATTTAACATGCTGAAATTGGAGAAGAATGTCAAGTTGATGGAAACTTTCTAGAAATGGTGAACTACTGTGTATATACTGATATTATACATTCCTTTACTTTGTTACTAGACATAAAAAATAACTTATTTGTATCATATTTACCATCTTAATATAATTGTTGTATCAAATCAATAAAAATACTTTATCAACACACGTTTTACTTTGAAATTACGTAAATGGAACTTAATCGTCGGATAGACATTTGATGTTTTATACAGTTTCAAACATAAAATGTTCAAATTCAAAACTTTCAAATATGAAATACAATGATCAAATTTTCATTCTATCTTCTGAGCCCAATTAAATAAACAACAACAAAAAACCCCACTATTTTCCGTCTGCTCAAACGTAAAGAAGTGTGTAATATCAGAAGAAAGTAATATTAGGAGGCACGGGCTTACTACCTGGGGGTTCATGTATGCTCATGAATTTGAATTTACACATCCTTCCTGTTGACGTAGAAATACACGAGAAAAATGTGAAATAAATAAAATGTTAGTAACATACAAACATGTATATAAATGCTGAAAAATAAAATTTTAATTCAACATCGTCGTAAATTTATTTTAATTTGGACAAAAATAATCACCCACGACAAAGTCAAACATGATTTGATCACTATGATCACCTTTTGTATGATAACCCAATTTTACCCATGCCATGACCATGTATGAAATAATCCTCTATGACATTATGACCTGTTATATGATAACACATGACATGATTATGTATGAAATAATCACCTATGACATGATAACCATATATGAAACAATAACCTACTAATATGACATGATCACCATTTTTCATGGTCCCTTTGGACATAATGAATTATGACACGGTGTCAAGTATGAAATTTTCACCTATGACATTATCACTTATGACATTATATGATGACCAATGACATGATCACATTCATATTTGACATTATCACTTATGGCATTATCACCTACATGATGACCAATGACATGACCACATTTATGTTTGACATTATCACTTATGACACAATTACCAACATGATGGCCGATGACATGATTACGTGCATGTATGGCATAATCACACATTATGACAATTACATATAACATAATCCCCATGACATGATAACTTCGGACATGATCATATCCGTGCACTCGAACCTGGCTGCTTATTGTCATTCATTTTATACTTCAACCCTTATTGTACCCTTATTGTAGCAATGAACTGTTCTAATTAGAGATAATCAAAGATGATACAAAGTTCATCATACAAATAAAGTGATATTAGGTTCAGATAAGCATCAAATTACAATAATTCAACCAAATTACATTCTCGTCTGCAACGCAACAATATGGCATAATCAAAGTACTGCAATCACGTTAACCAGTCAAAAATCGTTTTACAAAGTTCTTCTTACCTCTAAAGTCAATTTTCTCGCCAGGAACGTAGCCGTCAAAGAATATTTTCTTGACCGTTGCTGGGTGATTCTTCACATAAATTATACGTTTAAGAGCCTTTATTTTTCTGTCTACAATTTTGAGGTCCTCCTCTGTTTTTCGAACCCGTTGCTTCTGGTCATTAAAAATTTCTGCCTGATGTCGGGCTTGCTTTATACTGGACTCGTATGTTCCCTATAGAAATAAAATTAAAATTGAATATTATAAATCGCTATTAAAGCTGCATGCCTCCAGATAAGTCAAAATGTTTCAAGAAGATCAACCTTGAGTACAATGTACCAAGATTTTGATAAAAAAAAATCAGTACGTGTTATGCGCGATTAATGAGTGACTTTGAAGTATTTATCACCATATTTCTACCGCGTTACTAACGCAGTTAGGGCTATTTATGCATATTATCATGACTTTTTGGTAATTTACGTGGATTGTAAGCGCCGTTTGCAAAGTGTAAATTAGTGTCTTTTTCCAATTAACAATATCTTACTTTTAAATACATTTTCAAAATGTTCATGAAAATTTGCATCAATCTGGAGGCAGGCTGCTTTTAAAAGTATTTAGACCATTGTCATTCCGAAATTAAAGCTCCATTGTATGCATTTTCTTAACACCAGAAAGCAAATAATTAAATGTTTGCTTCTTTTGTTGCGCTTATACACACATAAGGTAAAATATTGCCTCTTGTTTTCTTTGCCCGAAATAGGTTGAATATTTTAAAATATTTTATTAGCCCAACTAAAATGTACTATAACAGGAGAAAAGATCTAAATTTATTAAGTCTTGTTGGGTCTTTAAAACACGTTTGAGGTATTATTCATCCCCCCTTTTTTAAATCTTTTCGTGATCGATTTCATTATAAAATGTTTAATACATTTGTTTTGTATGAAAACACTTAAATGATTATATATCATTACACTAAGGCTACTTGTATTCAATTCACCTTTAAATATCCCTACTCGTTATCTTTCAACGGCTTTTAAAAGGGTACACAATGCGTCCACTAGAATCTTCAAAATATCGATTTAGAATAAATCGTACTTAAACTATAACAACTTCCCATTAATCTCTTAAAACTGCCAAAGGTTCGAATACCCACGTGTGGATAGATTAAAAAGATTCTCATCGATGATTTAGTTATTTTTTATCCCCATCGCGTGAAACAATGTCTTGCAGGCGCGCGGTGCAAATGGTTGCGCATATTCCAGAGGGGTTTTGACATTTTACTAGTTCCAATAAACCCATTTTCATCCCGCGAAGTTTATATTGCCGATTATAATAGAAGCCGTATGTAAAACTAACATCCTTCCTCTCTTATTGCATTCGCATTGTGGGGCTTATTGTCGCATTTGAAACCACAGATAATGTCGTTTCCTCGAACTAGGATCGTCTCCAAAAACTCATTTTTTCTCGAATCGGTGCTCGAAACAAACCTTTGTTTTCGCTCGAACTCCACAACCCCCCCGCTATGCCCTATTTACCCGGGGGTCGGAAATTTTTTTTAAATTTTAAAATAACAAACCCCCCGTACCCAAATTTCCCGCGGTTTTTTTTGCCGATTTTTTAAAACCCGTGGCAATTCCCTTTTGTTTTTTCCGGATATTTTTTTTTGTGGTAGTAAATTTTAAATTTTTAATTTTTAAAATTTCTTTTTTTTAACCAAAAAACAAAAAAAACATATGCCCTTTTTTTAAAGTTTTGTAATAAAAAAAACCCTATCAACGAATGCCCGTTCGTCACCCCCTTTTAAAAGTTCTTTTCAGGTTTTTATAAATTTTTAATAAAAGCCCCTTTTTTAAAAGATATTTGGGGCATTTTGGGAAAACCCTTTTCGTTTTTAAATTTTTAAATCTCCGGGTTTCCCTTTTTTTTATCAATAAAAAAGTCAAAAAAAATATTAAAGTTTCCCAAAAAATTAATAATAAATTTTTTAATCTAATCCTTTATAACAAATCGGTAGACGGTTTCAAAACACGCAAAAGAAATATTACATTCAATTTTGGTCCCAAAAAAGATTTTAAAATTCAAAAGTAGAGGTTTGCCCTTTTTGGTAAATTAAAAGATGCCCTGTCATCCCCCCCCCCGAAACCCGAAAACCCGGCGGGCCCCCTTTTGTTAATAAAATTAAACTTTATAAACTTAGACGTATAACTATCTTAAAAAGGTACAGTAAAACCTTCTGGTTTAAGTCCACTCGTCCACGGGAATGAAAATTGGTGTAGTTGGTTTTTTACATATGGAATAAATGATTTTGAGAATGATAATAGGAAAGGAAATCATGACTTATATACGTTAACAAAGTAAGAACAAAATAAAGCTTTATAAAAATATATTTGGATATTAAAAGGATTCCTCTAAGTTTCTTTTTTCATTCTTTTTTCCCACCGACTTGTTTTTTTTCCTCGACTTTTTTCTCGGCTTGCATATAATTTGACAAAGGTAGGGGCGCAAAATTTTTAATCATTCGACCACTTCGTTTTTAGAGAATGAACATTTTTATTGTGAAAAATGACTTAAAAGGAAAAGCATTTAAACATTTTTACCTAATATCACACAAATCGATTTTATATTTAAATCTAAATATATTTCTTTATTTTCTTAAGAGTATTTTTTTCCGTTTTAAGTGCAACAAATAGATGTATCTAAAATTTTGTGTTTTTAGGCTCTTTGACCTCAGTGGTGATTGAGATGTACTGGTCTTACTACTTAAATAATTTAATGGGAAACCCGTTTCTGCACTTAGGTCTTTTATAATTAAAAAAAAAGAGTCTTTTTAATAGGAGTGCACCCGTTACTGCACTAATTAAGGTCAGGGTATATTCTCAATCCATTTGATGTAAAGCTTTACATAATAAATGCAAATTTTGACTAAATGTAGTTATTTTATCATCATATTCCTACAGGTCAGGGTATATTCTCAATCCATTTGATGTAAAGCTTTACATAATAAATGCAAATTTTGAGTAAATGTAGTTATTTTATCATCATATTCCTACGCCGGTAAATTATGTTTTCACACATTTATGTCCTTTTTGTTGATTTCAAACGCAAGAGCCTATTTATATTTATTCATGTTTCTCCTCATACCATATTTAATCTTCACACACATTCTCTTTCTTTCAAAAATAGAAACAAGAAAAATCAGTGTGAATTTAGGAGCGTGCTCCTTTTATAGATTCTTTTTCAAAAATGAGTTAACGGTTAAAAATATTTTGTAAGATTCTTTTCATTATTTTAGTTTACAATATAAATAATGTAAACAAGGAAGTTTCAAGTGACACTTGAAATATGAACGTTTTAACCTTGATTAAACATTGACAAAAAAAGGGAAAAGAAAACAGGCAAATTTTGTGGAATAATTAAAAATGACGATTTTTGTATAATTAACTTAACTCTTACATTGGTCGAGTCGGGCTTCCGAAGTTTATATTTTATAATCATATTTTGATACACGCCACGACCTATTCAATATTTCTACAGTTCTAAATCATTTTAATAGATCATTTTTAGGTTGGGTATTAAGTCATATTGACACTGTAGAAGTCATATGACGACTCTAAACTAGCTGAATAGCTTCCTCACATGAAAGAATCCAAAGCCGCCGGTGGGATTCAAACCTACTGCAGTGTGGGTCGTCAGCGCCCTTAAATGAGGGGCTAGTGGTTTATTAATACCTTAAACACTTGCCGTCTAATATCCCTACACTGCATCGTCAATATAATACATTACTTGCATTATAACTAAACAAAATAAAAAAATAGAATCAGTTAAACAAAGAATGCCTTTAAATAGTGAAAAGCTCCTTTATATATGCCGGTTTTTGTATTCAGCTGAATACGGTACTTTAAAAATGGTTTCCGTGCAGTTAGACAAAAGTTCATACTGAGATATAGATAAAAAAAGTTTAGACCGAAATAGACATATGAAAAATGTGTCGAGTGTATTTTTCTTTGTTAAAAAAAATTCGGAGTGAAGTTATTCCTAAGTGCATTAATACTGATACTAGCGACCTCCTGTGTAGAGCAATCGATCTATGTAGAACGACCGATCTGGTTTTTATACATTTAGCAAAAAATATTCAATAGTCCATCATGAATCTGTAAATTATACCCTTTTTCACAAATCATAATATCATAACGCTCGCTGCGAAAAATACATAAACATACATCCTCTTGTACAAAGGTAAGATACTATTGGTCTATAAAACTAGAAAAGAAAATTTACCTTTAGTTTATGGTACTCTTTCTGCAGGTTGTACCTCGTCTCTCTCAGTTCACGTTTCCCGCGTTTCATTTGATTCAACTGTTTCTCTATTCTATTCACCTCGTGTTGAAGCCTTGCTGTCTTGTCCTTCATCCCGTCTGACGGTTCTCGTACCAAAGTGTGCAGCGGCCGTGAGAGAAGTTTCGTCGCCGCTTCATCAAGCTCTAAGTTTTTCTCATGGAGGATGTTTTCGGTCATTTCAATTTTGTCAACAACAGAGAACTCCCTCTTGCGGCAGAATTGTCTGTTAAAAACTGTTCCTTTCACCTTTTCATCCAGCTTTTTATTCTTAAAACTTGTCTGAAGCCCTTTTGCTTTGGTTTCTTGTATCCTGAAACTATTCTTTCTCGCCGCTTCAGTAATCACTGCTTTTTGCCGTTGTAAATATCCGATTTCAATTCTTATTTTAGTTACATATCCCTCGTCGGCCGTAACCCAACTCCTGAATGGATCACTCACGCAGAGAAAGGAATCTAATACCATGTGCATTGCGCGAACAGCATGCGCGTAGGATGACACGTACTCCGAGAACGAAATGTCAAACATTTCATTTATGTTACACATAGCTTTCTCCGCGTCATCTAGGCAACCACGTATTTCAGCTTGCCATTCATTAATAGCGTTCTCATATTCCCTAACACACTCCACGTCCAAATCTTCCAGCTCTGCAACAAAGCTGTGACAATATTTACCCATGTAATGTTTCAAAGCATCGTCAATGCGTTGGTAATTCAAGTCATAAATGTCTTCGAACGCCTTTGCGCGCTCACACACTGTCTGGAGTTGAGAAATTGTAGCCGTTCTGCTTCCAAGATATCCTTGGTCATTTTTCAACTTTATAAGCTCTTTCTCGAAGTCTTTATAATTTCTGTATTGCTTGTTGCTTTTGTTCTTCACCAGATTGATATACTCTACCCACTCATCCGTATTTTCATCAGTCACATCCAGTAACCACTTCTCTCTAAAATGTTCTGAATTTTTCTCCATCCGAAAAATAAGTTTCATGGCCTTGCGCCTCTCGCCCTCGAGGGAAATTGGTACCCTTGGAGCCTCGCCGGCCCTCGGGCTGCTCTTTTCACTCAGCATTGTTGGGCTTTTTAAAGAACTACTCTGCCTCGATAATCTACACACTATTAATAAAATAACCAATCATTGTTTCATGACTTCCATAATTTATTAAAAAAATAAAAATAGAATAAGAAAAAAACGATTTTATTGTTGCTTTTGCTTTAAATATCCTATATTCCAGTCTATTAAGTTTCACAGTCTATTTAAAACGAATTACGATAAACTTTTAATATTAAAGTGTTATTTTTTTCCAATATTCGTAATATGAGAAGAAGAAAAAACATGAATGCGTTAACAAATTGGAAAAGTATATTTAAATTGTTTTCCTTCTAAGATTTATATAAAACTAAATACTTACCCGCATTTCAAAAATCTTTTCACAGTTCCTAATTCCACATACAAATACTAACAGATTTAAACCTTTTTTATTTAGACAAACTTTAACAAGCAAGACTATACGTTTCTATTCATCTTGAAGCCTTAAAACGGAGTATAATTGGTTGAACACGTTTAAAGCAATGTAAATCAAGTTTAACAAATATACAGAAGTTGTTAAGTAGCTAGCTACAGATATCGCCGTTTTTATCAGCGTGTGTTAACGCTCAATAGTTGATAAACAAAGACTTCTATGTACGAGGTGCCTAAATAAATGGTATCAAATGTTTGCGAACAAGCAGATACAAATGTTGACAAAGATCAAACTAAATATATATTCTTGCATTGTCTCCAATAAATAAAAATCTGTATTCTTTGAGGCGCGCATGGAGAAAATAACAATGATACGAAAAAAGGACCGCAGACAAATCAATGAGGTCGGTAATAAACTTGTTGGTTCAATCAGGTTTAAAGATTTTTTAAGTATCTCCATTGATGTTGAAATTGCTAATCATTCACCTGCAGAAAATGTGTAATAGATTTCCAGTTTTTAATTCGGCACAGCCAATTCAAACTTTAAGGGATTTCAATATCAAAATGCAAAAACTGACCTTCCAATATACCGTGACGAAGTATTATATCTTTCTATGTCTGCAAGTTAAAAACCTTGATCCCATATATGAGAGTGGTATGAAATGTGGTATTTTGTTAGTACACACTTTGCTCATGGTTTACATTTCCAGAATGTATTTTGTTGGGTTGAGCGATTAGGCGTACAATATCAATTATTTGTCCTTGCTCCTTTTATAACACTTGGCAAACTAAGAGCGACCACAATCCTTTGCAGGCAGCTTGATATCCGAGAGCCTCAGCGTATTGTCAGTTTTAAATCTGCAACATTTTCTTCTTCTTCCTCCTCCTCATTTAATTTCTTCCTCTTTCTTTTCTTTCATCATCTGCTTATATTCTCCTTCTTTCTTATTTCTTTTCTTTTCTTCTTTTCAATCGTCTACTTCTTCTTTTCTACTTCTCTCCCTTTGTCTTCGTCTTCTTCTCCTTATTATCATCATCATCATCATTATTATCATCATCATCATCATCATCATCATCATCATCATCATCAACATCATTATCATTATTATTATTATTATTATTATTATTATTATTATTATTATTATTACATGTATTATGTATTATTATTATTATATTATTGCTGCTGCCATCATTATCATCATCATCATCATCATCATCAGTAATTTTCTTTATAAAAAGTGCCTGTGCTACATTAATATATTTCTCATGACTATATTGCGGGCTTTTCTGCCAAATAAAAGCAAAAAAAAGGGTATTTGACCTATATGTCAATATTTCATAATTCGTTACCTAAATAAACCATTTGTATCACAATTCAATAGCATAATCATTGGGCAAACTCGTTATGTTATTATCATTATACAATAATGAACGATACGATCTTACAATTTTTTTGTAGCGCTGCTCTTGTTTGCCAAGTCAATCTTAACATTATTTGCATAGGCCATCGATTTGGAGGAGATCATGGGTCATTAAATAATTACATCTCAAAAATAAATTCAGATCAATAGCAATTATAACATTTTCCATTTAACTGCGCATTCTTGTTTCCGATATGTAAACATGCGTAATTAAACGATTTTCAAAAACAACTTTGAGGCCAATTTTAGTTTAAAGACCGACCACAGTTTAAAGACTGTACTTTTGTATAAGATATTTACGTTCATATAATAAACATATTGCTAACCAATATTAAAAAACATTTAGCATGCAATATCCAAACTGATTATTCAAAACTATTTTTCATATTATGAATGAATACATCTCAAAAGTTAAAAATATTCTTACAATAGTTCATCAATATATGACTTTACCCTGTCCGGTCATTTGGTCTAGTGCACTAGAAGTGCACATGGTGTGCACTTTTATTTCTGGTCGAGTACACACCTATGTGCACAAGTGTGGGAACTTAAGTTTGAACTCAACTGTGCTTTACATTTAAATGTTCATTGTGGACGGTATTATAATTACTTTTTTTATTTATTAACAAAACTCATAACCGTTGAGGACATAAGTATAACAAATGATAAAACAAACATTTCAAGGAATTGAATAAGGACGATGACTAAGTGAACTTTCAGCATTATTGTTAGAACAAATATAGCTAGATTAGATAAAGTATTTCTATTATCAATACACATTGAAGTCTGAAAAATTAATGTAGAGCTTACTAGGAAACCTAGAATAGTAATTTCTGGTAACTTGTGTCTTTCGTGTGTAAAATAACTACATTTAAAATTATAATGAAACTCATCACCAATATCTTGTTTATTACAAAGTGAACAAATCATTCTTTCAATACCAAATTAGAACCTTTCTCTACAGAAAGGTCAGAATTGAGGCATCTAAGTTTACAAAGAGTGCATGTACGTAATTAACATGTACAGTAATTTACAAAGCAATGGTGAAGAGTTATTTACAAATTGCTAAATTTCTTGGTAAACAAGGGTATTAATTTCATAACTAAAATTGTATTCTATATATTCTTTACACTTTCCAGAAATGAATACATCAATTATCATCTGTAAAAACCGCTCAGGTAATCGCGATTTTATCACAAGTTGAAAGGTTAAAATTCAAGCACGTTTTGTGCTACCCAAAAATCTGGTCAACCATTATTTTTAGATGCAGATTTTACTTCCTTAATAAAACACCCTTTTCACGATGATTATTGATAGTGCACACATAGATCACAGGTGGCAGTATCAGTGTTTGGACACCCAACCCCTACCTGCCCCTGGACCCCTACTACAACCCTGAAAAAAAAATAATTCAACACTCTAAGGCTTACTATAAGGTACCAAATACAAAACCACCGATGAAATTATATAAAAAAAATTTTTCCACTATCAAAATTATAGTTATAGACTTTCTAGAACCTTATAGTAAGCCTTAGAGTGTTGAATTATTTTTTCAGGGTTGTAGTAGGGGTCCAGGGGCAGATAGGGGTGGGGTGTCCAATCACTGATACTGCCACCTGTGACATAGATCTATTTTATCAGCTTTACCAGGGTCTTTCTGTTTGAAAGACCCTGGCTTTACTACCATATGTATCTGTTACCACTTACTAATTTACTACCCCCCCCCCCCCCAAAAAAAAAAAAAAAATAAATAAATAAATAAAAAAAGATAAAAAAAAATAAATAAAAAATAGATACTGTAGATCTAAATGAAAAAAAAGAAAAAGGAAAAAATTAACATTCTACAAATAATATCATTTTCGACTGGGAATACACCTTAATCTACTAAAAACACCTAAGAAGGAGTCAACATGTTGAGTTTAAAGATATATAATTTCATTTGACAAAGAGTATCTGATCAAATGTCAAATATCTATAGGGGTGCGTAACCATGATAGAAATTATAATAATTGTAAATTTTACCATAACACCGTAAAAATGGCGGACGACATGTTCGGAGATTCCGAGCTTTTTGCCGAATTCGATAAAGAAAGAGAGACTACAGGTTCATTTATACTTTACGAAAAGAATGAAGACGGCTTGCAAGATCAAAGTAAGTTTGTGTTTCAAATGAGCGAGTCATCGTCCTCTGAAGATAGCGAGGATGATTCAGATTTGGAGCCCGAGAGTGAGAAACTGAAAGTGAAACAAGAATCGGGACCAAACCCGGCCCTTTTGAAACCAGACAGCAATCATGGCTCAAATTCACAGGTTCTTCAACAGAATGGGACTGAGCGAAGCAGTGATTCAGAAAATGAACAAAATGGCGAAAGCGTTGTGAGCAAAGATCGGCAGGAAAAATTGTCAACATACAAGCTAAATTTTGAAAGTATCCTTTAAGGCGGTAAAATAAACAAAAGACATTTAAAGAAGAAAGCTTTCTGGACTAAGATGATTTTCTTCATAATAATGCACTAAATGAAATGGAGCCCCTTCCCCCGCCCCCTTGACTCAAATTCCCTTGACTGTTAGATTTTCAAACCCATTGTCGTGTCCATCTTTGTCTCACCACTAGTAAACCGTAAAGGCTGGGCCCTGCCATGACAGTCAGAAGGCGACATTCTAGATGCTATTGCAGTGTGAGATGAATAATATTAAATTAGGCAAAGCCTATGAATGGGGAAGTCTTTTTAAAAAAAGAAAAAGAAGAGTTCATTTTTCTGTTTGAAAGGTGTTGTTCTGTATTTTATGCACCACTTCTGTTTTCACTCGTAATACTTGACGATTATTATTAATCCGAAAATGTGCTATTGTTCATAATGGCAATACCCTGGGCCATCCTTAAAAATGTTTGTTTGCAGTAACCCGACCCAGAATTTTCAAGGTGGGTAGGTAGGTCGATTTTTTTTTTTTATTGAACTGTACTCCCAAATAAACATGGAATTTCAAAATGCTGGACAATATATGCTTTGATAATCTGGTAACAATTAATAAATTGATAACTGAATTCTAATTTAATAAGACCTACATTTTATTTCTTCTATTAACCTTTAAAAGAATGAAAACAAAGCACAAGGCATAATTTTCTGATTCAAAAAAAAATTTTTTTATCCAGACCATGAAACAAAATTTTGAGTAGGGGCAAATTTTGTGAGTCGGTCGCGTTACAGCAAACAAACATTTTTTTCAGGATGGCCCTGCCTTTTATCATTGAGTTACATTAAAAATGGTAGCGCCCGACTAGAACTGACACTGAAAAAATTTCATTAATAGATATAGAAATCTATATATTCTTTGCTTTTTATTTGATTTTCTTTTAAATATACACATGTAGTCTATAGCTGGGCAAAACAAAGCCGGGGACCACTTTGTGGTTCCAGCCTTCGACTTCGTATTACTCTGATCTTTCTGGTGACAAAAAGGGGGAGATCAGGTTAATTACCAGACATAGTTTACCGTGGTTGAAAATTTCTTTTAATCAATTAGTGAGATTGGCTCCTGAAAACTTTAGGGAAGCTATTCAGCTAGCTCATGAAAAGTTGGTGTTTATATTTAGGTGCCATGTTGAGCATTTCTACTTAGGTGCTTGCTTGATCTTGAAATAATGCCAGGGTAAAATTAAGGCAAAAGAAAGAAACTTTCAGACCATTATTACATTATCTGGGTGATTTTATTACCCAATATTAAATTTTCATGAAAGCATGATGTTCAACTTCAGATCATATTCTATCCTTAACTTGATGACAGGAAACAAATTTAAAAGATATTGCAACATAATAGACTCCACAAGGTTAGTATCTCATTTCTCATAAAGCTTTGATTTCTTATCTAAAACAAGGCAATTGAGATATTATTGAATTTGATACATTTCAAAATCTGGCTGCCTATATACTTGAACCCCATGATACCGGTGCCTCCATGGTACCGGTGTATTCACATATCTCGCGATATTATTGTCAACACCACCTACCTAGTGTTTATATTGACATGCTCTAGTAATATTTGCTATTTCAAAGTTTTTAAACATTTTAATGAGATTCTGAAGAAAATATTTCACATATCCTACCTTATTTTTCATTTACTATCCTTTTCCTCCACTGCATAAATCGGTCTCTCTACAAAACACATTTTTTTCCAAAAAAAAAAAAGACAGGTGTTGACGTCATTCATACCTCCATTACATGTCACTTGACCTTTTGACATCATTTTTGGCGTTAGTGCATATAAAACAGTTTGTGAAAATTGAACAGTCAGTTTCATTCAGTCTTTTAAGGGAGCCTGTGTAAAGTGCCATATTGATATTTAATCTTCATCATATAGAAATAAAATACTTTCAATGATATAAAAGGACCAGAAAATCACAACAACACTAACATAAAGTGAAGGGGGATTTTTTTTTAATCCAGCCACATGGTATAATATACCGGTTCACCCGTAATTGGGAGTAAAAAATTCTCAAACAGAGATCTCTTAGGGGTAATAAAAGATGAACATAAAGTAAACTATTGAAACACACGTTTTTATTTTGTTTTTAAGTTGTTGTTTTTTAGATGTCAATACAAGAATGCTAAAATGATATTCTTGCTTTTAAAACTGCAATGGCTTTCCATATAAATAACTTTTTTTACTAGTGCACCGGTAGCATGAAGTCTGTTTAACTACGTCATACAAAATGGTCGACCATTGTTTACATTTGTTGTGAGCGAGAATTTCATAGTAACAGAACTCTGTAATGTATTTTTAAGAGGATTAAATGTTAATGAAGTTGTTTATTCGTCAGTAAAATTTTATCTGAAAAACACCGGTATCGTGGAGACCCGGGCTATGTCAAATATTACTCCAGTTTTTGCACAGAAACAGTTTTCTCATTCACATTATATATATAAATGTAAATGTTTTCTGTAAAATCCATATACATGATGATGAAGTAACATGTACTGTATATAAAGTTATTAAATTATTAGGAATTTGAAGTGTTTGTATGACCTTTAATATTACATTTTATCAACTGAAGTTGTCCTTTGCCTGATCTAGGAATTTAATGAAATGGTTGTTACTTAGAAATGTAAATGATTATAATTGTAATTTCAGGTATATACATGATGAAGAGTCAGCTTCAGTGCAAATATTGTTCCAAAACAACAGATTTTCAAGGTATAACTTGCATATTATAACTAAAAGAGATTAAGAATATTGACTATTTTTGATTTTATTCTTATTTACCTGTAGAGGTAGTGTAAACAATCTTTTTGGTCAGCAATTTTTTTCCTTATGTAAGTTGTACTGAATAACGGAGCCATTCACAATCACAAACTGTATTTCACAATTTTGCAGACTGAGTCCGACGGACCTGTTCACAATTCTGGTGAAAATTCACAATCTTGACAAAGTTAGCCTATAATTATGTCATTTTTCCTCCTTTTTAGTATAATGATTCTTCAACCCTAAATTTGCCATTATGTTGTTATATTCATTTGTTATGTTAAACTGTTATTTTTGTTAAAGAATTTAAGATATGCTTGACCCAAGTAGGACTCAAGCCCACAGTTCCAGGAGGAAGGTGCAGAATCCTTTACCACCACAGGACCTCCTCTCCCCATGTGAACTGAAACTGGCCATGTGATATTTACAGTGTCAATGTAAAACTCAATACAAAAAAAGAAAAGGAAATAAACTCAGAATATCAAACATTTTAATGTGTGAATAGATGAAAACAATTAGTTTCAGGTATTTCATTACAGCCAAAAATAGATAAACAATAGTTAAATGTTATTTTGATTTTATTTGTAGAAAGTACAAGACTCAGATAGAAGACTTTGTTAAACAGCTGATTGAACAAGATGCTTGTGGTGACTATGAAACACTGCAAAAATTAGATCTCAAGGTAAGATGATGCTGAAAAAGTCTGTCTTCTTATTTAATTGCCATACCTTGTCAGGAACTTTCCTTGTCTGAATCATTCCTTGTCAGAAACATTCATTGTCAGAATCATTCATTGTCAGAAACAGTCCTTGTCAGAAACATTTCTTGTCAGAATCATAGGACATCCTTGACAGAATCATTCTTTGTCAGAAACATTCCTTATCAGAAACATCCCTTGTCAGAATCATTCATTGTCAGAAACATGCCTTGTCAGAATCATTCATTGTCAGAATCATTCATTGTCAGAATCATTCATTGTTAGAAACATCACTTGTCAAAATCAAAAACTTATTTTTTTGTCTATTTATTATACCTTATGTCTTTTCTCTGTTTTTTATAACTACATGTATTGTATATTAAGTCTGTATAACTAGTGTCTTCTGTTTGTTTCTTTGTAACTATTGTATTATTTATTAAATTTTGTCTGTTCTTTGTAACTAATGTCTATTTTTTGTAACTATAATGGTTTCTTTACAACTATTGTCATTTTTGGAAAGCTATTCTCAACATGAAAAGATCTTTATTGTCTATTCTTTAAAACTAGTGTTTCTTCTTAATATCTTTTGTCAAATTGAAAAGTAACTTTATGTTTGTAGAAGAATATTAGTGTCAGAATATTATGAATAACTTTTATGATTCTTTTTCTTCTATTAATGTACACACATGTTCTCATCATGTTGTAAATGACATAAATACTGATTGACTTTGGGAAATGGAATGTATATTTGTGGTTTGTTGAATGGTACATTGGTAATGTTTATTGATAAAATAATTGTAATCTTTTTTTTTCCAGAGCTCTGTGGCCAGTTGTGCTGAATTGAATGATAAAATTCCTGTAGAGAAAAGAACTGACAGAATGTATAAGGCGCATGCTGTAAGTTGTCAATCTTGGTTTTTCTATACCTGTATATTTAAAGACATTTTTTCTATCCAGATGAAGGACAAAATAATTTACTCCTATGTTGAGGCTATATTACCTGCAGATCCTTATCAGTATTAAATGGATTTGTCATGTTTATAGTCAGAGCATATCATGTGCCAGTGGTTATGACAAATATGCATTTTTATATTACACTCCGCTTGTTTATGGAGCTGAGCATATAGATTTGCCATCGTTCTTCTTGTTCTGAGACTGTCAACGTGTAGACTGACAAAACAGTGGAATGTAGGGGCCGTCCTTGTCCTATGGACACATTGCTAGTGTTTACAATTTACATGGGAGAATTTAGATGTTGTTATATTACAGATCATAGGCTGCTCACAGTTTTACAGATATTTTGTATTGGACACGCTAGGATGGCCGTTAGTGGAGTACAATCCGTCACTTACAGAATGCTGGGATATACCAGTGTATCCATTACATAACAAATAGTGGGGCTGCTAGGTACACAGTCCTGTTTTAAGAAAATTCAATTTATTAAATTTATGTAATATGATCAAAAGGGGAATTATAACATTTTCTGCTTCATCAGTCTGACTGCTGCTTTTTGCTAAGTTTTAGTATGATATTAGTTATAAATATGTCTGACAAGTTGTATGGCTCATTTATATAATACTGCATGTTTGTAACATTGCTTTTCATTAGATAATCATGATGTTTAAATAGATTTATATACACTGCTGCTGTCAATTTATGAAGAAATCTCACTTTTTTTCTCTTAAAAAAGATGCTTCCAAACAATTGTTTAAATAGGGCCTTATAATCTGTCAGAATCTTTTTAACTAATAGTATAAATGGTTGTTAGTGACGAGGGTTTTATCAAAAACAACTATTTATACATAGCCGTATAACATATACAAATAAATGATCTAGCAGGATTACTTAATTTTAAAAGATACAAATAATCACTCCAAAATTGACAGCAGCAGTGAATATAGATTATATAAATGTCACAATTATCCAATGAAAAGTGACGATACAAACATGCAGTATTATTTTAAGTATCCACTGGTATTTATCATAACTTAATTAAAAAGCTTAAGTACTAAAAAAAATTGTGCATAAGAGATGGATGTCCCAGTTCATTGGATCCTCCAAGACTTTTTGCCCTCTATGATAAGTTCATTCATTGATTTTTCCAAGAGTTATTGCCCTTTATGATAAGTTCATTTATTTGTTACTCCTTTATAGACAATTTCTCTGCAGCCATTAGCTGAAATTTATAAAAAAAAAACTTAAGTGATGTGCAAGTAACATTAAAGCTTATGTCCTTGACCACTAAGCATTCCTTCTAATTAAGTTATTTTACAGGTTGTATTTTCCCTGAATTTGAAGATGAAATAATAAATAATCAAATCTTAAACATCCATTGAAACTATAGAAGGCTTGTTACATTCCTATAGTTAGCTGTTCAGATAAATTGTAAAACCTTTCCTTAATGCATTTAGTTATGAACAAGTTTTAACAGATGTGCTACCAATAGATGAAGTTGAGAAGAGGGCAATTGCTAGAAAAATGGAAAAAGAAAGGTAAATATTTGTAAAAATACATCGATCGTTTTAAAATCTGTAAGAAATATTTGTGATAAATAGGCCTTTTCTATGTTATATGCTTGTTTGCTGTGTAACCATTGCATTTCGTTTTTGATTGTACATGTAGTTAGACATTTTAATAGGTTTTATGGCAAAGTATGAATGGTTGTATAATGCTTATATGACCAAGAATTAAATAGCAAACAATGTTTTCTTTATTTGAGCCGTGTCATGACAAAATTAACATAATGGGTTTGGGACCAGCGCAGGCTGGTCTGGATCCATGCTGGTCGCAAACACATTATGTTGGTTTTGTCGTGACGCGGCTCATTTTACTTCTCAAAATCAAACTAGTATTTTAGTACACTACTAAGTCAAGAAAATAAATATTTTATTTACCCAAATTGGTATTTTTTGTTTATAACATTATTATTTTTTGTGTTCAGAATGAAGCCAAAATGCTGGAACTGTGATGGGGATCATATGATAGCTGAATGTAAAATGCCGAGAAATCAGGCTAAGATTAATGAGAACAGACAGATTATGATGGCAAATAAACAGCAGAAGAACGACGGTCCAAAGTAAAAATTATGAAACTTTTTAGTGTTGTAATAGTAATGATTGTGATCTTGTCTTTGAAAATAATTTCATTTATTTTTTTCAAGAAATTGTTTCAGTCTGATTGTTACGAGATGAGATGCTTATTTATAAAACACTGGTTCTCGTCCTCATTTATGTATTAGTTTTTAAGGTAATACAAAGGTAATACATTTTAAGCGGAACCAATTTTATTCTCAACAACTATATAAACACATGAAAATTGTCAGTTATTAATTTACAACTTGCAGTTTGTACACATTATGACAATTGTGATTAAATCTTCCCACCTGCTTTTGAGTAATAAATGATAAATGTATAAAATATGAAAAACAGTTGACAAGAACAACAGTTTAACCAGGAGACAATTATTTATTTTATTATTTCAGCCAGTTTAATATGGTGAATTTTTTTACACAGTTTTGTTACATCAATGAAAATTTCACTTTTTTGAATGAGAAAATTTATTTATTTGATTTATGCATTAATATATGATAGCAGAAAATAGAGCCTCTTAGTTGGCTTAATGGGACTCAGCATACCATAGTACCTAGTCTTGTGTCCACCCATTTAGCTCATAGGGTGATCTTTGTATTTTGAATACAGGGGTTACTGGTCAAAGGATCCATTCCTCAGACGAGATAAAATTTCTGTGACAGTTATTTGCTGACATAGAGTTTAATGGTCATTTTTCTCGCATAGCTGATTCAGAAATCATGTAGAATAAGTAGAGGGTCAGTTGCTGAGAAATTGGTTAAGGAGAGCTTATAAGGTCAATAGACTGTTGAAATATAAAAAAAAAGTGTTAAAATCTGCATTTAAAAGTCAGACAAACAAAATAACCACCATAGTCTTGTCTGAAATAATGGTCACTTAATGGTAGTTCTCCAATAAATACATTAAGGTATCTATTTCCATGGACCATTTCCATTCTACTTTAAAACTTTCAATATATATTTTTCAGGTCGGCCAGATATCATAAAGAGACCTCAAGTGAGGATCCTAAATACAGCAAGTTTAAACCTGGTGTAATTAGGTAAGTCTGAAAAGAGTGGAATTCTTTTATGTTTATTTTTTTAAATTACCTTTAAAGGTTCGAATTGTTGAATTATTTCATGCGTGTTATCTATCCAGCTAGGTTGGTAGTTCTTCTCAGTCGTCCATTTATACCTGAAATAATGCACAGAGGGTCTTCCTCCATCAGATTACCTGAAAGGTCAGAATATATATGACTTGTTATGTCGGTCCATCTAAAAAAGATTTTATAATTTATTTATATATATTTCTAAATTGATGACAGCTCTTTTTGCTTGCATTGCTCAGTATTTTTGATATACCACCAAATTTCTTCATGCATAAAATAATGCAAGAAGGGAAAATTGGGACAATCATCTGCTAGTAAAGTTTGAAAATTTGCTTTTTTATAGTGTACAAGAATGTTGACCAAAGGAGTTTTCAGAATTATTGATTATTGATGTCCATGCCCATGTCAATGTTATGCTCTTCTGTTGTGTTACAGTGGTGATTTGCGCGAAGCTCTTGGAATAGAAGATGACCAGTTACCTATTTTCATCTACAAAATGCGAGCCCTGGGATATCCTCCGGGGTGGATGGAGGAGGCAAAGTCAGCACCGGGACTGTCAATGTTTGACAAGGATGGAAATGGTTATATATTTACTTTATATGTACAAATGTATTAATTTAACAGGTGTAAATTTTTAAGTAGCAAACTTTTCTATAAAAACTTCAGAAACTCTTGAATCACTATGTTTTCAAACTATTAAGGCCGTACCTGTAGAATATTTTAGCAAAAGATGTGTTTCTTATACACATGCACATATGAAAAGAGAATACATGTAAAAAATGTCCCGTATATTTAATGGTTATTTCTAGGTTATTCTAGTATACGCCTCTTGATATATCTGAAACATTTTTCTTTCAATATAGGAACTTTTGTGTAATCACAGTACAAACAAATATTCTATTAAGTACAGAATTTTATATTAGTCATCCACCAGCTGAATTCCTTTTCATTTTTTGAACTGTCTATTATCAATTTTGGTAATATGAAGATGATGATTTAAAGTTGGTCAGCCAACAGTATAGAGCCCAGTCAGACTGCATGCATGTGCAGGCTGGCCTCACTCTATACTGGTGGCAAAGGCTGATAATATCTGGTTACAGCAAGTTAAGGGTTAACAATCAGGAAATTGTGGTGGTGGTGTTGGTAGTTTTCACTCAGGATCATGGCAGTAAGCCGCATTGAATTTACCAGAGCACAGTTCAAACACCATATTGTTCCTGGGCAGGCTGTCAAGCATTTTACCAGTACTAGTTGCCTTCACTTTCGCAAGGAACTGAAACTTCTGTACATACAAGAGCAGAGGTACAGTGGGAATGAATGTAGAAAGGATTTCATGATCAATCACAAAGAAAGTAACCTGTGTCCTACGCTTTGTCTATTGAGCTAACCAGAGGGCTCACCAATCATGAAATATTTAACTTTCATTGGGTATATAAAACATCTGTTTTTGACTTGAATATTTCAGACATGGACGAGAATGCAGAGGATGGAGAGACTGGGAGAGAACCGCAGCTTGATGTGCGCAAAATTATAGAATACCCTGGCTTCACGGTGGAAGCACCTGCTGATGTTGTTGAAGTAAGAGCCACACAGAAATATTTCAGTTTTTTTTTGCCATTTAAAGTATGAAACTCTTCTGTGGTTTATCATTATTATTGTAAGGCATTGTTCCCTGCAAAGTTTGAGTGGTAACTAATACCAGTTTGTTAGTTTAGTATGTCAAGCTTTTTTCTATTTACCAACCAATAGTAGCATATTTAGGTTCTATCTAATGGTTCATGAGTTGAAGGTATCGTTACACCCTTAAGGTTTTTTGACATGACAGGACTGGAAATACTTTATTGAGTTATCTTATACCATTTAATGTAGGTCTGGACCAATTATATGTGTGCATTATTTAAGAATCAATCTCTGGCTCCATTTTTGTGTCGCCTCTACGGAGTAGTGGCGACATATAGGGATCACTTCTCCGTCGTCTGTCTGTCCGTCTGTCTGTCTGTCCGTCTGTCTGTCTGTCTGTCCGTCCGTCCGTCACAAAACTTGTCCGGACTACTCCTCATAAACTACTGGTGCAATTTCATCTAAACTTTACAGGAATGATCAGTACCAAGTGTAGTTGTGCATATTGTCAGCATTTTCCGGTTCAATGATTTTTGTCAGAGTTATGGCCCTTTAATAATTTTTAATTTTAAAGTTTGTCCGGACTACTTCTCTTATACCACTAATGCAATTTCAATGAAACTTTACAGGATTGATCTGTAGCTCAAGTCCTTGCGCATATTGCAAGGGTTTTCCGGTTGAATGATTTTTGGCCGAGTTATGGCCCTTTGATAAAAAGGTTTCTTTTTCTGTGGGTTGCCAGATACACAAAAGCTTGTCTGGACTACTCCTCATAAACTACAGGTGCAATTTCATCCAAACTTTACAGGAATGATCAGTACCAAGTCTAGTTGTGCATATTGTCAGCATTTTCCGGTTCAATGATTTTTGTTTGAGTTATGGCCCTTTAATAATTTTTATTTTTAAAGTTTGTCCGGACTACTTCTCTTATACCACTAATGCAATTTCAATGAAACTTTACAGGATTGATCTGTAGCTCAAGTCCTTGCGCTTATTGCACGGGTTTTCCGGTTGAATGATTTTTGGCTGAGTTATGGCCCTTTGATAAAAAGGTGTTTTTTTCTGTGTGTTGCCAGATACACAAAAGCTTGTCAGGACTACTCCTCATAAACTACTGGTGCAATTTTATCCAAACTTTACAGGAATGATCAGTACCAAGTGTAGTTGTGCACTGTCCGTCTGTCTGTCCGTCTGTCACAAAATTTGTCCCAACATGAAATTGGCCATCATGAGGCGACACATGTGATTACTGATCGCTCTTGTTTCATAATAATCATTTCCATTGTGCAAATGACCTTAAATGAAAAACGCTTTTAACTGAAATCGGACTAGGAATCTCATTAAATATTGATTTAATATTGATTAATATTCTGATTATATTTTGTTACTATCCCTTCATATTTTTCCTTTTTAAATGCCCCAGTTGATACATGTGAGATTTTGAAATTGAATGTTTTTATGTTTTTGGACCTCAGTGTGAGCTCCATTTATATTGTTACTGGAATTTTGTCATCTAAAACATTTATTGGTATTCATATACATGAAATGGTAACTTATATACAATGCTATATTACTTTTTCAAAATTCATTTAAAGTGAATTTTTTTATTCAGTTAACCCTTTTTATGGCGTGAGATTTAATAAGCAATTTATATTTGTGAAAGTATACTGATTTATATTTCAGGAAGCAGAGATTTATGGTCTTCCACCGTTACAGCCACATCAACTGAAAGCCACATTGATTGCACACACTGAAATGCAGGTTTGTATGGGTTTAATTAACAATTTTCAATGTGACTATATAATATATAGTATATAATGTCAATGGACAACAATTGTCCTCATTCCAGCTTCGACATCCGCATTAAAATTGTTGTACAAATACATTTTACTCTATCTTTTTTATTACATGAAGGAAACCTTTTTCAAATATTTAGTACATGTGTCTGATCATCCATATCGCATATGTGAAGATTTCATGATTTATCACTACAACAACCACTCTCCCATACCCCACTCCTATCCCCCCTAAAGGCGAAGATCAATCTAAGCGGTTAAAATTCTACGCAAACATTGTTAACTTAAAAGTTATTTTACCATTAGGCATCTACCTTATTGTGTGCCGTTTTCAGCGATTGAAAACTGTTTTTAGAGGCACTTGTTCTGCAGGAGTAGTTGCTAAATTATACAAGCAGGCTACATGTTTTTTGCTCGCCCTGTCACAAAATGTTACTATTTTTACTAATAACTACATGCAGACTTGAGACATTTCATGATCTTGGTTTTTAGTTATTACCAATTTCATATCGTTAGTCTGAGGTTGAGATATGACATTTGTATGTGTCTTAATTGACTGTATGTGCTGGATACTTTAATCAAGTTATATGATAACCCTCTTTTTACCTTACCTGTCACAAAGTGACAGGGTGAGCTTTTGTGATCGCTTTTCGTCCGACGTCCGGTTGTAAATTTTTACTTTAAACAACATCGCCACATAAACCGCTAAGCCAATTTCATACAAACTTCACAGGAATGTTCCTTTGGTGATCACCTTTAAAAATTGTTCATAAAATTAAACTCCATATAGAACTCTGGTTGTCATTCTGTATGTTATGGCAACCAAAATTAAAACCTTTTAATATCTTCTTTTAAAAATCCCAAAGAGCTGGAGCTTATATATTTAGCATGAAACATCTTCTAATGAGTGGCTACCAAGATTGTTTAAATAAAAGCCCTGGGGTCAAAAGTTGTCTCGTCATGGGGGTTGATTGATTCTCTTATATGTACATGGTAAAAACTTAAAAAATAATGTTCTTTAAAAAAATCCAAAGAGCTAGAGCTTAGATATTAAGTATAAAACATGCTCTAATTCCAATGATCAATACTTTCTAATATCAAATTTGACTATAGTATATCTAAGCATAGTATACATTTATATATGTTCTAAATCATGTAATATATTCATCTTTAAATTCAGGAGGCCACGAAGAGGGAATTAGAAGAAAAGGAGGAAGTTCAGGCTAAAAGACTGAAACTCAGTGCAGAAGAAATGGATCTAGATGGTAAAACATTTAATAGGAATAATATGTTGCATATTAGGAGAAAGTTTTGCTGTCAGTTTAGTTTATACAAATTTATTTTAGTTTGATTGTGTTGGAAGTTACAAGCTTATTGAAACAGCCTCAAATCCAGACAGTGCTGTCAGACACTTCTTATTGTTTAATTGATGAGACACTCTTTTCAGATTCTATGACTCTATATCTTTTGTTTGTCAATATACTTGTCAGTCTTTGTAACTAAGAGGTCAAGGTCACTGATTTTGGATCAGTTATCCTTCTGTTCTTTGAGTCATGGACTATAAATTCTTTTATGCAGGTAGCTTAGAGCAGATCTAATGTTCTTATCATGTGCCCCTTTCAACAAGAAATGCATCTGAGGTCCTTATCTATCAGTAAAGCTGAAAAGTTGCCATGTGACCTTTTCTGTGTTGATGTGACTGGAAAATCCCAACATACTCATTGCTTTGAATTAACCATTCACAAATGACAACAAAATATCATTATGAATGACATACATATTCATTGCCTTCAGATTAATATTAAAGATATATTTAAATTTTAATATATTTAAGTGAATTGAATATCTTTCAAGGATGAAATTTTCTTTTGTTCTACAGAAGATGGTGCGTCAAAGGAAGGAAACATTGAATATAACCCACCCTTGCCACCTGAGACTCCGCCCGGTAGACCGCCCATGCCTCTCACAACTCCCCCTCCAACACCTGACGAAACTTCAAGACAATCTTCATTAAACTATTCCAGAGAATCTAGTCTGGCGCGTTCTGAATCGCCATCATTGGAAGAATTGGAGGAAAAATATAAACTGTTGCAAAAGACTCTAATGAATGATAACGAGGACGGAGAGTTGGTCGTTTTAGACAGCTGCGAGGACGAGTCCTCACAGTCGAGTCTCGCGGGAGAAAAATCGTACAATCCTATAGATCTTGACTCCTGTGAAGAAGGGGATACATCTAAAAATCCGATTGAGATTGCAAACGATTCAATCGAAAGTGTGGAAGATTTTGATTTTGTGAAACCACATCTTGTAAGAACTGGTTCCACCACTTCAATACAAACATTTGGTGAGCTGGGTACCGGAAGTCCATGTAGTTCAAATCCGGGAACACCAGTTAACGCTCCTGTTTCTATAGACTATAAACCTCAGTTTAAAGGATCAGTGTCAGTCTCCAAAGACTATGGTACACCAATATTAAAGAGGGCTGGAAGTATCAATGAGTTGCCCATGGATTCAAAGTTTGCTCAAGGAATCGAAGACCATATTCCATTTGAAAATCTTCCAGATTCGACAGGAAGATTCAATACAATACGGAAAATTGTCGATAAAATACGGAAAATTAAACCTATCAAAAAGCGGAAGAAGTGATGGGATAGGAAATGTTACTTTTAGTTTTATCTAATCTATTCAAAGAATAGAGAAAGAATCCTACTCGGCTTCACATCAGCATTTACTTAACACTATGTTTGGATTTTATATGCAATTTCGTATCCCATTTACCACTAACGGCACTCACTTGAAACTCATTATTATGGTAGGTCACAGTCCAACGTTCATCATTCTATCATTGAATTTGATCAAAGTTCTGAACAATATTGGTTACATTTCACAAGAAAGTACTGTTTCCATACTCTGATTACAATTGTAGGTTGGTGACAAAGGCTGGTAACTCTAGCTTTGATGTTAATTAAATTATTCCCCTTTTTAGCTTCCCTGTCACAAAGTGACAGGGTGAGCTTTTGTGATCGCTTTTCGTCCGGCCGTCCGGCGTCCGTAAACTTTTACTTTAAATGACATCTCCTCATAAACCACTCATTTAAACCGCCAATTTCATCCAAACTTCACAGGAATGTTCCTTTGGTGGTCACCTATGAAAATTGTTCAAAGAATTTAATTCCATGCAGAACTCTGGTTGCCATGGCAACCAAAAGAAAAAACTTTAAATATCTTCTTTTAAAAAAGCAGAAGAGCTAGAGCTAGAGATATTTGGCATGAAACATCTTCTAGTGAGTGTTTACCAAGTTTGTTCAAATAAAAGCCCTGGGGTTAAAATTGGCCCCGCCCCTGGGGGTCATTGATTTTCCCTATATGCATATAGTAAAAACTTACAAAATCTTCTTTTAAAGAACCCAAAGAGCTAGAACTAAGGTATTTAGCATGAAACATGTTCTAATGGGTGTCTACCAAGTTTGTTCAAATAAAAGCCCTGGGGTCAAAATTGGCCCGGCCCAGGGGGTCATTGATTTTCCCTATATGCATATAGTAAAAACTTAAAAAATCTTCTTTTAAAGAACTCAAAGAGCTAGAGCTAAGTTATTTAGCATGAAACATGTTCTAATGGATGTCTACTAAGTTTGTTCAAATAAGAGCCCTGGGGTCAAAATTGGCCCCGCCCCAGGGGGTCATTGATTTTCCTTATATGTGTAAAGCAAAAACTTAAAATATCTTTTTTGAAAAAAAACAAATAGCTAGAGTATAGATACTAAGCATGAAACATCTTCTAGTGAGTGTCTACCAAGTTTGTTCAAATAAAAGCCCTGGGGTCAAAATTGGCCCCGCCCCAGGGGTCATTCATTTTCCTTATATGTGTATAACAAAAACTTAAAAAATCTTCTTTGAAAAAACTCAAATAGCTAGAGTTTAGATATTAAGCACGAAGCATCTTCTAGTGAGTGTCTACAAAGTTTGTTCAAATAAAAGCCCTTGGGTCAAAATTGGCCGGCCCGGGGGACATTGGTTTCCTTATATGTGAATAGCAAAAACTTAAAAATCTTCTTTGAAAAAAACCTGATTAGCTAGAGTTTAGATATTAAGCATGAGACAATTTATAGTAAGTGTCTACAAAGATTGTTCAAATAAAAGCCCTGGGGTCAAAACTTGCCCTGCCCCAGGTGTGTCATTGTTTTTTAAAGTCTTCTTTTAAAAAACCCAACGAGCTAGACCTTAGATGTTTAGCATGAAACATCTTCTAATGGGTGTCTACCAAGTTTGTTCAAATAAAAGCCCTGGGGTTTAAACTGACCCTGCCCTGGGGACCTATATACAGGTGAGCGACTTCAGGGCCATCATGGCCCTCTTGTTGAGGTATTATCCCCGTTTTTGAACATAAAAAAATTGCAATATATTTTTTATGTTTTTAACATTTTCCATGACTATTGAAGATAATGGCTTAAGCTTAACACATGTCTGTTACACTACATTTGTAGGTCACTGACCAAGACCTGTAACTCTGTATTTGATTTGCTATATCCCCTTTGGTAAACTATAATTAATGGAATTCAAAAAGCTCTTGAGTTAATTTGAAGCACTCAGAAAAGTCGAGGGAGCAATACAAGTGAGGGTTTGTATCATATGGAATTTTCTTAGGTTAGAAAAATAATAAGGAAATTGTTTTTTTAAAGAATCAGTTGAAAGTAATGTAGAGTTTGCATTATTTATGTAATATATTAAATGTTGACTATATCTGTGACACTTTTACAAGATTTTTACAAAATGACTAATTTAATGGTATTGTCTTATTGCCCCCTTTTTTCGTCACCAAACACTTTTAAATCACCCATACAGTTTTAGAATAGATGAAAACCCATTTTTATAATCCCCGTGGGAGGAGGGGAAATACAGTCTTTTAAATCTATGATATTACACTAGTGTTATAACACTTTGACAAGATGAAATTTGCGTTATATACATACATAACATTAAAGTGTGCTAATGTTAGCATTGCACTAAAAGCACGTCAATGAAAAATGACTCTTTTTAACAGTTTACCATTTTTATTTTAGATATGTGATAAATATAATATTATATTCATGTAGATTCAATACTAACTTTAAAGAACTCGTTGAATAAAACAATATTATGCTCGCCAGAGTCTCGCATATGATTTTATTCAACTTGTTCAATAAATTTAGTATTAAACCTACACTCCTTCAATATCCTCTATATTTTCCATTAAGAACATGTTTTATATGTTCGTAAACTTGCTTTGTTCTTGAGAGGCGCTGTTGGATACATAAGTCATTTTGTTCCATTTAATTATATGAACCTATTGTGCAATTTTAACTATTGATGACACATTATGGTTTCAAAAAAGCTTGATCACTGTGTGAGGGAGAGTAGCTTTAATAAAAAAATTTTATTCTTGTATGATATAATCATTACACAAATGTATGTTGTGAACAGTTTTAGTAGGCAGTAGTGAAATCAAACATTTTATCTTGGATTTTATTGTTAATGAGTCTGTGAATTGTAACCACAGCTGTCCCTCTCCTCTAATGTTAGTGTTATGGATTAGGAGGGATGGGGGGCATATTAAAACGTTTTTTATTTTTCTTTCCCTCTGTCCGCAACTGCATTTTTTTTGCAGGAAGAGGGGGATTAATTTTTCGCGTAAGGGCCCTATATCTAAGGGGGAGGGTTTTAACAATTTTAAAAATACAAAAAAGATCCCTTTCTATTCCCCTGGGAGGGGGGTGGGGGGTTTGGGGGGGGGAAAAACCAGTGCATAAAAAAAAGTGATTAAGAGTTCTCATTTTGAATGTAATTTGGGAGTTAAATAAAGGGAAATGTTTAGTATTTTTTTTTTTTGTATATTTTTATTTTTTTTATAACAAGGGCTTTTTTAACACTATTGATAAAATTTTATGATGATTATGGGAATTTGTACTCTCACATATTCTATTAAGGAAGTTGTATCACTGTAAATGTGCTATATAATATTGTAACAAACATAAGAATGTCAAAAACTTTCACATGTATTTTGTCTTGAATTTTAAATTTTTTTTATGAAACTACTTCAGATGAAAACATTAAAATGGGCGTTACTAAGTTTTAACATTGTATCAACTAGTGGCAAAAGAAAAACAAGACATTTGTACCAGTATTTGCTACAGACCCATTTATCATGTTCAGTAATGACGCAAGCTAATTGGGGTTTGGGGATGATAAAAAATATTGAATTTCATTTAAAAATGTAGTTAAATATATACATGTTTATAACTTGTAATGTTGTGGTGTGATCAAGGGGGTGCCATTTAGTGCATAAATATGTAACTTATGTAGTCAAACTTATTTAAACATTTAAGAGAAGGTTTTTTAGAAGCATAGCCAAAACTTTGTTAAAAAGGAGATAAGTTTTATCTTTTTGACTTTTAAGCTTTTATATGGAACAAGAGTGAAATTAAAGACGTAATTTTATAATTTGTTGTTCTTTTTTCACTTTTTGTATAATTCACTGTTGCTTGTTCTTTTAAAATATATAATTTCCGAATATGGGATCATTGCCTTACTTCAGTGCACATTATTAAAGCTGCCATTGAGGTTAAGTACACATGCTGAAAGCTAGATCATGGTGGATATTAAACTAAGTAACATCCTGTTTTCACAAGAAAGGTAAAAGTTGAAATTAATGGCTCCCAAGAAAGGTACAGTGATCAGCAGGAGAAAAAATGCTTATAATTTAAAGACATTGTAGTGAATTGAATTGGATAGGCTGTCACCTTTCAATATTTCAGATTAGAAATATCAGATTGGGCTATCACAGTGGGCTGTGTGAGCGTTACTGTATTCTTTGATGATATCACCTTGCTTTATTTACTATCATATTGCTTTGTTTGAGATAAAAATTACTAGATTAAGCTAACATCGTGAGCTTAACTGTATACCCTGAGGATATCACTGTACTAAATTTGGGATCATATATATATAGCCTGTGTCTATCAACATACTAAATTTTGGATGATATATTTTTGATATGGCTATCACCGTGGACTGTGAGCTTTACTGTATACCCTGAGGCTATCACCGTACTTAATTTGGGATGATATATTTTAGATAGGGCTTTCACCCTGAGCTATGTGAGCTTTACTGTATACTTAAGGCTGTCACCATTCAGTATTTGAGATAATAATTAAAAGAAAGGACTATTACCGTTGGCATGTCATGGACATTTTATGAACCGGTCATCGTTCTTTCTGAATATAAATGTTCGAAAAAGCACTATTTTTTTCAAGCTAACCTTTCAAATACGATTTGCCTGCATGCATATGGGATTCAATTTTGTATCAATTTGAAACCATAAAAGGCCCAAAGCTCTAATTCAAGAAATATGTCCGTGAGATTTTCGCGTTGCATGGTCGTTTTATGAACCGATGATTTGTTCTTTCTTTATATAAATATTAGAAGAAACCACCATATTCTCGAGGCAACTGTTCAAAGACTATTTGTCTAATAACGTTCAGGCTTCGATTTTGTATCAAATTCGAGTTTTTGGCACCGGCGAATTGTTCTTTCGCTATGTAAATTTCGGGAAAAACATTACTTTCATGAGCCTACCTTTCGTAAACCATTCAGTTTTGATCAATTCCGTTGCAAATTTGATTTTGTACAACTTGAAAGGGTCTTCTTTGCACATGATAAGGCTTAAAGCCCTAACCCAAGGAACATGTCCAGGAGATTTCCGCATGGCTAGGTCACTTTCCAGCGATTAGCGTTTCTGTATATAAATTTCGGAAAAAAAAACATCAATTTTACGAGTCTACCGTTCAAAAGCCATTTGACCAATTCCAATGCAAATTCGATTTTGTACAACTTGAGAGGGTCTTCTTTGCACATGGAAAACCCTAAATTCCTAACCCAAGTAATATGTCCAGGATATTTCCGCGTGGCTTGGTCATTTTTGGCACTGGCGATTTCTTCTTTCTCTATGTAAAGTTCAGGAAAAACATCACATTCACGA